GGATCAAGCCCGCAACCTGGGCATGTGCCCTGTGACCAGAACCATGACTTCCTGGCTCATAGGTCGACATTCGTAGGTTGAGCCACGCCAGCCAGGCGATAGCTGCCAATCTTTTTGAACATAATACATTATTTTGTTGGATAGCCCGGGTGGTCCCTGAATGCTATTTTCAATTTCCCTTTTTCTTTTGAAAAATGTACCCAACTTGCCTTCCTGTATCCTGCTCCCGTCTACCTACAACCTCAGATCCCAGCATTCTAGAGCTTCCGGTTTCCGAGAGGTTTTGGTTAACGGGATTTGGCCGAACAGAAAGTGCCAGTGAGGGAGGTTTGCGCTGGGAGTCCCACGGCAGGGAGGGACCTGACGGGTCCTGTGGTCCCGGCCGCCGCCCCACCCTCCAGGCACCGACCTTGGGAGCGGATGTTCTGGAGGATGAAGTACAGGTACTCCCCGCAGAGGCCCGCTGCCTCCACGAACTCCTCCTGGGTCATGCTGCACAGCTGCAGGCCGCTGACGTTGAAGTGGCAGAAGGAGATGCAGTTGGTGTCCAGCTTGTACTGGTCGCAGCAGAACTGGAGCCATTCCCAGACGTGGCGCTTCGTCCAGTACTCGGGGTGGACGGACGTCCAGTAGGAGTCGCAGGCTGCACCGGAGGAGAGAGAAGTGAGGGACGATGCCCCTGGGAGAGCCCTGGGAAGGTCCCCGAAGGCGGCCCCAGGTACATCAGCATCCTCATCCCTTGCCCACGAGTTGGAAGCAGCTCCAGCCCTGGCGGGGGGTGGGGGGTGGGGATGGGTTCTGCTGGGGCCCTGGCCACCTTCCATTCTGCAGTAAAAACCGGAGGGGACTGCATCCTGCGGGTGGACATGAGGGCAGAAGAGGGATGGACAGGGGCACTGTGGCTTGGGAGTGTCCAGGCCTAGTTGGGTGCCTAGAAAGAGGGGAGTTAGAGGGGGAAGGAAAGAACAAGGCCCTTCAGTGATTCCGTGTCAGACGACATGGTGTCAAGATCACAGGCTTTGGAGCCTGACAGGCCTGGTCCGAATCCTGGTTCTGTCGCTTCCCACTGGGGCCAGGTCCATGGCAACTTAAGCCTCAGTGTCCTCATCTGTAAAATGAGGATTATGTGCCCAACACATGGGGCCGTTTGCAGGTGGGATTAACACATAGAGGCTGTGTGGCACACAGGAAACTACCCATCCGTCCAATAGTTGCTAAATGCCTCCTGTGTGCCGGGCCCCCTCTGAAGCTGATTTGATTCGCTCTGCTCTTATGCACAGTTGCCAACACTCACTCCTGGTCTGTGCACGGCCTCTGGCCACCTGGAGGCAGGGGCCGAGGGCTGGTGAGACGTTGCCCAGAGATCAGAAGACTGTGGGTCTCCATAACAGATTTCTCTGGAGGAAAGGGGGGATTGGTTGCAGTGTTGTTTCGCGGTGGTTCTCAACCTTCCTAATGCCGCGACCCTTTAATACAGTTCCTCACGTTGTGGTGACCCCCAACCATGAAATTATTTTCGTTGCTACTTCATCACTGTAATTTTGCTACTGTTATGCATCGTAATGTAAATATCTGATATGCAGGATGTATTTTTCAGGGGTCGCGACCCACAGGTTGAGAACCGCTGCTAGGGTGTTTTAAAGAAATTCTGTCCTAAGACCAGTGCCCCTTCCCTCCTTCAGAGGACCCCCGTACACACTCAGACAGAGGGGGCGCCATCCTCTGGTGCCTGGCCTGGGGTACAATGCCAGAGAAACAGAAAGGGTGGCGGACACAGGATATGGAAGAGGTGAGGTACCAGTACCCGGTCAGGCTCTTGGACATAAATAATTCTCGCGATCGCCATCGTACTCATTCATGCGGCCATTCATTCCACAACGAGCCCTGGCTTCCTCCCTGGTAAGATGGGGAGAATGGCGGCGCCTGCATCCTAGAGCTGTTCTGTGGATCAGATGAGTGAATCTATATAAAAGCACTTAGAACGGAGCCTGGGAGAGTTTAGTGCCTCTATTAAGATGATCATCGAACACCTGCTCTATGCAAAGCAAGAACTCATGTGGGAAGGAGTCATGGTAAAGAAGAGTTTGGTCCCTGTCCCCTGGGAGGTCACAGATGAGGAAGCTGAGGGTCGTGGAGGACTTGCCTGCGATCCCACAGCCAGTGTGTGGCAGAGCTAGAGTTTGAACCCCAGTCTGAACTTGAAAGCCGTTACTCTTCCCATTCCATCACCCTGGTCCTCACAGGCTCAGCGCAGAGAAGAGATGAAACAGGGAGCGAGGGGGGAGGCAGTTGGGGAGCCAGAGAGAATAAGAAGGCCCGTGGAGAGAGGCGGGGAGCAGAGTACAACACCGCTGACGGCCCAGGTCACGGGGACGACAGAAAGGGTCACTCACGAGTTAGTCTGCGGAGCTAATGGCAGTGAGGCTGTCTGATTCCTTCCTTAAATGCTGCGTTGGCTGCCACTGTCCCCAGGGGAGGCCTGGAGCCTCTGACCCGAGGCAGAGGATGGATTCTCTGCCCTGGGAGGTATACCGCTCCCCGACACCCCCATGCCAGCTTCTCAAGTTCCTCAAACCCCCCCAAATAGGTAGGATTGGGCATTTCAGAAGATGGAAATGGAAGCTCCCCTTAAAGCTCTTAGTCCTTCCAGAAATTGATTTTCCTCCCCTAGAGTGGATCGAGGGGCAGTCAAACTTAATAAATTTTTTGATGTATTTATAATTTTTCATCTGAATTCGATGTGCAAGTGGCTCAAAGGCTGGATACCGTGCCAGGTGGCTGAGGCGAATGTCACCGCCTCTATGCCCGCTATGCCTGGGTGGGGAGAGTGAGGGCCTGCTGGCACTGCCTCTCTGGCCCCCTGGCTGCTGGCTGGAGCTGGCTTCCTGGCCAGTGGGGTGTGCCTGGTGGCCAGCAGGGTCTCCTGGGACAATGGTGCGGCCACTCCTGAGTCTCTGTGTGCTTTCTGTCCGCTCATTTCTGACTTGAGCCAACCTAAGAAGGGCCCTTTGCTTGCCTGGTGTTCTGACGAGAGATTTTTATGAGCCCGACATTCTCCCAGCCGTGGTCCCGAGCTGAGAGCTGACAGAGGTGCCCTGCAGGTGGAGGACACAGCTTGCTGCTGCTTTTCATGGAAAGGGTTCTCCGAGCCTCCATGCCCTCCCCCCTCCGCCTCCACCCCCTCATTATTTTCTTTGGCGCTTGGAGAGGGCCATGTTGTTTCTGGAAGCCAAGCTAAGGGTTCGGAGAAATGCCTGGGTGGGGTGGGTGGGCACTGACACCCGGGAGGTGTTGCTGGCAGGGCTCCCTCCTCAGCGCTCCCCTGCATCTGGCCACAGAGCCGGCTTTGTGTGCTGCTCGGCCTGGAGGGAAGCCAGGGCCAGGACAGCCCCGGAGCTGAGAGGAAAATGCTCTTCTCGGGGGCCTGGGGCGCTTCTGGGCTGTGGTGTGCCTCGCGGTCCTGTCCTGGTATACCATGCTGAGGCCGCGGCGGTGAGGCTGGCAGGGGTGAGGAGGCCCCATTGCTCCCTCAGGTTGCCCCCAGCTCAGCACCTTTCCACAGGCGCCTCGCTTGCTCAGGACGAGGCCCCCATCTGCCTTCTTCTACTTCCTGCTCCTCCTCAAGGCCACAGCGCAGACCCCCTCTCAGCCAGGCTTCCCTCCCTGCACAGCCCCCTCAGGTGCCCTTCTCATGAGGATACACCCCCCTCGCTCTCTCTCCAGACCGTGGTGAGCCCCAGGAGGTGGGGTCCCCTCTGCTTGCCTCACCTCTGCTTGGCTCACCCAGGATCAGAGGTGTGGGGGCCTGGCTTCGCCCACCGTGGGTGCTCAGTGAGGGTAACTGGCTGGCCAAAGGGCCAGTGATTGTTACCTCCACTTTATGGCGAGGACACTGAGGCTCTGGGAGGTTTGATGGCTTTGAATAAAACTGCACAGCTGGTCAGGAAGGGAGCCAGCCCCCACGCTAACCCTGATCTCCTTGGCTGTGGGAATTTTGCATCCTATCACTTTGGTTGGGGAGGACCAAACCGGATACACACCTTGAAGTCTAACCAAGAAGGATTTGGATGATGGCAGGTATTAGATATATCATCTAGGTTTGAAAAATCAGAAAAAGGGTGGAGAGACTGGTGATGACAATGTTTGCAACCCCAGGGAAGGACCTGAAGCAGACGCTTTGCCCTTTGGCTACTTGGAAGAGATAAACTCAGGGCTGAAAAAAAAAAAAAAGGGTAATACACTCACAGAACATGTTATCTTTAATAAGTTGTATCGTTTGAAAATATAAAGCGATTTCCTTCATGCGCCTGCCATTCATAAAATAATCTAAGCTGTTTGGAGAAGCTGAGGTCTGAGGCCCTCTGCGTACATCTACCGGTTAGAGACGGATGGCATCCAGTGCCCGGTAGCCTTCATCCAAATGGCCACAGGCCACTGCTGAGTACAGGCTGGCCAGCTCCTCGGAAGTCAGAGGCAGGTCAGGACACTGTGTAAGGGCCAGCTGCGTTGGGAAGAAGAACTCGGGACGTAACAGGGACAATTCTGGAGGCATTCCGACCAGGATGCGATAGCCTGGGATGCACATGCATTTAGAAGGAGGACTCGAGCTTTCGGAGCGGGGCTGGCATGCTCAGATGCCCACAGAGCCAGCAGGTAATGTCCATGCCTGAAGGGTCCCATGTGGGGAGGTTGAGACGTGCCATGCGGGAAGGTGGGCCCTGTGGTGCCAGGTCCAGAGTGTTATGTGAAATCGCATGATTTTTTTTTAAGTGCTGGCAAGTGATTTCATTTTTAACAAACACCCTGAAGGCCGAGGAAGACTCTTTCACAGACTGGGGCCCCCTGGAAGTCACTTTGTGGTGGAGAACTTCACCTGCTTTGGGACAGTTGTCTCCTTGGAGACCATTGTTTAGAGTGGGCGTGCTAAGAGTGTCAACTTTTGTAAGTTGAGTAGCATTTCCTTCCAATTAGAAGTTATTTGGAAGAAAAGCAGTGCTGCTTTGCTGGGAGTTGAGGTGAAGGGACGAGACGACTTCCCCTCTGTAGCACCACAAGGCAGCGTGAAAACCCTGGTCTGGAACATGAAACTGGGGCTCCTGCTGTTTGGATTCCCCAAAAAGGTATGTGGTCTCACACTAGTGGTCCTGCCTTTTTGGGATTTATCTGCAAAATAGGAATAACAGGACCTCCTTCTCCTGCTCTTGAGAGGATTAAGTGAATCAAAACACAGAAAGAACTTAGAATAGGGGCAGGCATGCAGTAAATGCTCATTAAATGCCACCCATTTATACTTGCTAACATTCGGGCTACCCATACCACTACTCTAATTGCATTTCCCCAAATACCTCTGACATGTTCTCTCTCTCTCTCTCTCTTTATCCCACCAATTTCTCTCTTAGGCTAGCACCTCTGTTCCCTTCCAGAGCTTTGGGTTCATTTTCTTAATGAAATAAGGGTATTATATTATTAACCATGCTAATTTGTCCTTGTACTGCTAACATGAGTAAGGTAGCCAGTGCTGTTCAATACATGGGGCACAGGTGAGTCTGTATGACTTTGTAAATGCTCCATGATCAGGACATACCCCAGACCCATGCTTCTGACACGGGTGGGAAGGCAGGGCTAAGCCCCCCGTGGACAGCA